AGTAATGAGCCACGATCTTGAAGTTGGGACAAAATAGAGGAACTAAAAATTTCCCCCATAATCAAGTTGTATGGGCCGAAAAAAGCGGTTAATAAAAATAAATTTTCTCTCTCTCCCTCTCTCTCCCCCTCTCTCCCCCCTCTCTCCCCCCTCTCTCCCCTCTCTCTCTCCCCCCCTCTCTCTCCCCTCTCTCTCCCCCTCTCTCCCCCTCTCTCTGCCCCTCTCTCTCCCTCTCTCTCCCCTCTCTCCCCCTCTCTCTCCCCCTCTCTCGCCCCTCCCTCCCTCCCCCTGTCTCTTAAGGTAAAGTAAGTTTATTTTTGAAGATTTAGATATATTAAAATTCACATATTTGCACTGCGGTGGAAAGATGAAATTAGGATCCTCGCAGCTAAGAACACTACTGAAACTTCTTAGCTGCGAGGATCTTCTAATTTCATCTTTCCACCGCAGTGCAAATATGTGAATTTTCATATATCTAAATCTTCATTCACTCGGATGTTTATTTGTACCCAATTCATCGACCAGCTCCCGTTGGCTTGTTAGCTCAATTGGTAGAGCGCTGCACCGGTATCGCAGAGGTCATGGGTTCAAATCCCGTACGGGCCTGAAATTTTTTTCAGGTCCTACTTACAACTGCTAGTTTCAGTAGTGTTCTTAGCTGCGAGGATCTTCTAATTTCAAGTTTATTTTTGTTTCTAATTACTCAGACCACAAAGACAATGGACCACGAAATAACTACGTGTGAGTTTATATCAGACTAATGGGAACTTTTTTTCCTGTCTTTTAACTAAACTAATGCGTTATTTTCGTTCTTTTTGAGGTTAAGGCTCTTTTTCTTTAACAAAAATGAAAACATCAGTTACACAGTGTCCCACCTCAATTCACCCAGCCTTAAAAACAACTCTTGCATGTATTGCATGCCTATGATTTTACTGTCTGTCCAGTCCACTGTTTCTTCTTTTTACTTTGTTTGTTTGGATTATATTGAGAACTGTTTTTTTTTCACTGCTCTGTTTGGTAGTTTTGTTCAGTTGAATCTTGTGCATAACTCGTTCTCTCCTCCGATTAAATATTTCATTCAAATCTTGCACAATGCTTTTCTCGTCTCTGTTTGATTTCCAAGTTAATATCTACATCACTGTTTGTTTTAACTTAAATTTCTTTCCTATATTAGAATCTAGCCCTCTGTTCTTTTCCTTAACCATTTAACTCCCATGAGTGACCAAGACAGAATTTCTCTTTACAATACCAACTCAGAATCAAGCAGACAAGTGAGGAGAATAAAGAAGAAAACTCAATTAGGGAACTACGGGCTGATCCAATACCAAATTCTCCAAATTAAAATCCTAAGTATTTCATGGCAGACAGTAGGGAGAATTTCTAATGAGGTCATGGGAGTTAAAGGGTTAATTCTGGCTGATTGTCACGTGCATATCCTACCAACTGTTTGCACTCTTCTGTTTGACGTTAGTATCTCGTGCAATATTTTCTCCTAATTTTATCTCAATAATTCGCTCACCGTTTCTCTTCTTCTCTATTTGTTAATACTTTTCTTTTAGTATATTGTACTCTGTTTGTTCTCTTCTTCACTTAACTTTTAGATTAATATGTAGCGCCCTGTTCTCAACACTGTTTGATTTTTGCGGTAATTCTCGAGCATTTTTCTCTTCTCTGTCTGATTTTTACATAATTATCTTCTCTTTTGTTTTGATTGTGTCTTCAGTATCTCGGCACTTTTTGTTTCTTCTTCTGTTAGTTTGTTATGTTATCATCTCCTGCACCAGTGAACAGTCTTAATCACTCTTTAATGATCACGTGTGCGTCCAACGGGAGAATTGAAAACAGAATTATAATGATTTAAATCAAGGATTAATTTTGAGTTTTGACAAAGCTTTGCTAACACTCTCACATATTTATACATTCAGCTAATTTTCTGTGTTCAGTTTTCCCATCCTAATTTATTGTAGTTCCCTATTGATAATATGATAATATTCTTAATAGATCAAACGGTTGAATTGCAGGTTTCATTATCACTAGCTTTCGACTAAGCCCTGTCTACAAAAACACGCAAAATCTACTACTTGACCGTAAAAAAAAAATTAAAAATTTCTTCGCTAAGAAATATCAGTGTCCATTGAACGACAATGTATAGAAAGAAGAATCTTTGTGTAGGATCAGTAGTCACTCTGTTTCTTCTCCGCCTCGTTGTTGTCCTCCTCGAGTTCTTCTTTCCTAAAAAACATGAAAAATTGGTAACTATTTTAGCTTTAAAGTAAACGGAACAGATTTCCGATTAAAGAAATTACTTTCTTCTTCAATTCCATTGGCTATGATTGTCCAAACTTGTCTAAAATACCATGCTTGATACGAAAGTGACTTTAAGATTGTCCATTTATTGTTATTTTCTGTTGATTTTTCACAGGTAAAGTGAACTTTTTCAGTTTCTCAAGTTACCTTCATAGTCATAACGTGAAGTATCGCATCGACTTTGACTAACTATTTCCGAGTATATTGCATACAAAAGAAACGCTAATTCAAAGCCAATTTTAGAAAGCCTTCCGTAAAATATACTAGCTGCGAGCGCCAGATAAAACCAAGTTCTTTTTCTTGGCATTTTATGGAAATTACGACAACTGAGTGAACTGAACAAGTTAAGTGTGCTAATCAGTTCATCGTAGAAAATTGCTCATTCTAATCAGACTTACCCTTTTCTCAAAAAATAAATGTCACGTTATCCCCCATCAACACAAACGGAGCCCATTGGGAAGGTTTGGAAAATCCATTGCTTCTCAACCATTGAACGGCCCGGTAAAGAGATTCACTGGCACTTTCTCCACGCACAAGGTGTTTATAGAAATTTTTCATGAGCTTCGCCGTTGCTTGGTCTTCTATAGCCCACGATGCTACCAACACTGAACGTGCACCAGATGCTAAGAATGCTCGAGCGATTCCAATAACTCCTTCTTTTTTAACCAATCCACGCCCACTGTGACAACAGCTGAGTACTACCAGTTTAGCTCGTACTTGAACTCGTTCAATGTCGGACATTGTTAGGAGGTAGTCTTCCTCTTGTGGAGTACTGTTAGTAGTACATTGAGGAGAGAGGGCAATCTCTCCTCTTTCGGGATTTCCATGTGCGGCAAGATGTATCAGACTCACTGAAGGTATTGCTTGAAGAACCGCCTGCTTTGTTGCGCGACGTCCCAATAAAGGCTGAACACCCAGCAGCTGACCAACCATCTCTGCTTCCTTACTTGCACAGAACAATGGTTTAATGTCAATGAGACGTCCATTGTATTGCACTTTGCCAACCGTAGGATCACCCACAACCAGTCCGCCAGTTTGACTGTGATAGTCTGCTGGAGATTCTTGAATTAGCCGGAGAGTTGTCAGTGAAGGGACGATGCGTATTCTGTACTTCTCCGATAAATACTTTCCGGCTTGTTCATCACGCAAGGCAGCAAATGGGACTCGATACGAGAAACGATCCGGTACAATGATGATTTCGGGCTCTGTGAGTAAATCTGCCACAGGTGCGACGATCCATTCGTAGCACAAATGATGACTTCGTCCGGTACCTTTGGTTTCGTCACCTCGCAAATTTGCTTGGCTCTCTTCATGAAGAGATGTCGTCACCTTGTCATCCAGCGATCGGTCTTCGCAGTTCGCTGCGGGTAAAACACCAAAGCATTCGGCGCTCTTTTTGAAAACTCCTTCCACTTCGCAAACTTGCTCAGCTATAAGAGTGTCTATTTTCACTTGGTCTGTTTTTCGAAAGAAAATGTCTCCATTTGCTTTCAATACCCAGAGAAGAACTTGCCGATTTTCATACGAAATGTACAAAGAAACACAGTTACTTTCTCTTCTCGCGATGTTTTCAATCCCGAACCATGATCGTGGATCAGCTGAGATGTGGCTTTTAGAGGAGTACTTGTCTGCCATGAGTTGTGCGAGGACTCTTGCTCGTCCCAGCTCCTCAACATAGAGAGCATCTCGAAATCTTCCAGTATCACAAAGGAGGTGAGTGAGTAACTTGTAGGGAAAAGTACCGCGATGCTCCAACAGAGAAATTTCAAATCCACTGTTTCCTTTCTGAAGAGTTCTTATTTGTTCATATTTTTCAATACCTTGGAAAAGATATTCCAATGCCTCCACAACCTCGAACTGCGATATCTTTAACACTGCAATATGGAGAAGGCTTTGAAAGTCAGTCATTTTGTGTCCAATTTCGCTGCTTATGGAACACGCTTTCTGTAAATAATATGCTGCCTTATCATATTCACCAAAAGATTGGGATAGAAGTCCAACGCTTAGGTATACTTGTGCTTCGCACTCTCTATTGCCAGATTCTCTGTTGATTGTAAGCGCCTTCTCACAATGTTCTTTTGCCTTCTGACTGTCATTTACAGACTCAAAGACATGTGCCAAACTTACAGTGGCTCTGGCTTCCAGTTCTTTGTTACCAATTGCAATACTAACGCCGACTGCTTTGTCCAAATGTTCTTTAGCTTGCCGATTTTTTTTAAGATTCCAGAACACCATTCCAAGGTTGAAATATGCTAAACCTTCATTTCCTCTGTCGCCAATTTCTATCGCGATGCCAAGTGCTTTCTCGTGATATTCTTTAGCATTCTGATATTCGCCAAGGGAATGAAACACACTTCCGAGCTTCCCGTATCTTGCTCCTTCTCCTCTTCTGTCGCCAATTTCTATCGCAATGGCAAGTGCTTTCTCGTAATATTCTTTAGCATTCTGATATTCGCCAAGGGAATAAAACACATTTCCGAGGTTCACGTATCTTGTTCCTTCTCCTCTTCTGTCGCCAATTTCTGTCTCGATGGCAAGTGCTTTCTCGTGATATTCTTTAGCATTCTGATATTCGCCAAGGGAATGAAACACACTTCCGAGGTTCCCGTATGCTGTTCCTTCTGTGCTTCTGTCGCCAATTTCTATCGCGATGGCAAGTGCTTTCTCGTGATATTCTTTAGCATTCTGATATTCGCCAAGGGAATGAAACACATTTCCGAGGTTCACGTATCTTCTTCCTTCTCCTCTTCTGTCGCCAATTTCTATCTCGATGGCAAGTGCTTTCTCGTGATATTCTTTAGCATTCTGATATTCGCCAAGGGAACGAAACACACTTCCGAGGCTCCCGTATGTTGTTCCTTCTCCTGCTCTGTCGCCAATTTCTATCGCGATGGCAAGTGCTTTCTCGTGATATTCTTTAGCATTCTGATATTCGCCAAGGGAATGAAACACACTTCCGAGGTTCCCGTATGCTGTTCCTTCTGTGCTTCTGTCGCCAATTTCTATCGCGATGGCAAGTGCTTTCTCGTTATATTCTTTAGCATTCTGATATTCGCCAAGGGAATAAAACACATTTCCGAGGTTCACGTATCTTGTTCCTTCTCCTCTTCTGTCGCCAATTTCTGTCTCGATGGCAAGTGCTTTCTCGTGATATTCTTTAGCATTCTGATATTCGCCAAGGGAATGAAACACACTTCCGAGGTTCCCGTATGCTGTTCCTTCTGTGCTTCTGTCGCCAATTTCTATCGCGATGGCAAGTGCTTTCTCGTAATATTCTTTAGCATTCTGATATTCGCCAAGGGAATCAAACACATTTCCGAGGTTCACGTATCTTCTTCCTTCTCCTCTTCTGTCGCCAATTTCTGTCTCGATGGCAAGTGCTTTCTCGTTATATTCTTTAGCATTCTGATATTCGCCAAGGGAATGAAACACACTTCCGAGGTTCCCGTATGCTGTTCCTTCTGTGCTTCTGTCGCCAATTTCTATCGCGATGGCAAGTGCTTTCTCGTGATATTCTTTAGCATTCTGATATTCGCCAAGGGAATAAAACACATTTCCGAGGTTCACGTATCCTCTTCCTTCTCCTCTTCTGTCGCCAATTTCTATCTCGATGGCAAGTGCTTTCTCGTGATATTCTTTAGCATTCTGATATTCGCCAAGGGAATGAAACACACTTCCGAGGTTCCCGTATGCTGTTCCTTCTGTGCTTCTGTCGCCAATTTCTATCGCGATGGCAAGTGCTTTCTCGTGATATTCTTTAGCATTCTGATATTCGCCAAGGGAATCAAACACATTTCCGAGGTTCACGTATCTTCTTCCTTCTCCTCTTCTGTCGCCAATTTCTGTCTCGATGGCAAGTGCTTTCTCGTGATATTCTTTAGCATTCTGATATTCGCCAAGGGAATGAAACACACTTCCGAGGTTCCCGTATGCTGTTCCTTCTGTGCTTCTGTCGCCAATTTCTATCGCGATGGCAAGTGCTTTCTCGTGATATTCTTTAGCATTCTGATATTTGCCAAGGGAACAAAACGCATTTCCGAGGTTCCCGTAACTTGCTTCTTCTCCTCTTCTGTTACCAATTTCTATCGCAATGGCAAGTGCTTTCTCGTGATATTCTTTAGCATTCTGATATTCGCCAAGGGAATCAAACACACTTCCGAGGTTCCCGTATGCTGTTCCTTCTGTGCTTCTGTCGCCAATTTCTATCGCGATGGCAAGTGCTTTCTCGTAATATTCTTTAGCCTTCTGATATTTACTGAGTTTAACACAGACATTTCCAAGTCTCCCATGAGCCAGTGCTTCTTCTCTTTTGGGACCAATTGTTTTCATGATGGTGAGTGCGCATTTAAAGAGTTTCTTGGCCTCCACAAACCGGCTTTGTGCTTCATATTTGTCTCCCAGTTTTATGTTTAGTCTCCGAGCATGGTGAAATGTGTCAAGAAGTTTGGTGGCATGTCTTTCTGCATCTGCGTAACCAGAGATGGCGTAATACGCATTGAATAGTACATCGGAGATATCAAGATGACTACCAGAGTCAAGGTTTTGAAGTAGAATTATACATTCATTACATAACTCAGTCGCTTGTAGACCTCGATCAGTGTTCAGAAGAAATATGACGACATTTAAACCAATCTTGACTGATTTTAGGATCTCTGCAGCGTCACTCATTACGGCTCTCTCCTGTTTATTGTCGTAGGAAAGAATCAGCAAAAAAGGGAAGCTTAAAAAAAGAAACACTGATAAATTTTGTAGTTTATAAAGTGTTTTAGGAAATTTGTGGTTGTCTTCCTTCTTCCCTTTTTACAGATATCTGAGCGCAACATTCCTTTTTCACTTTTTTTTCAGACCAGTCACAAGTGTATCATCTGTGTTCAAATTACAACAATCGTAGAGGGGATTTGGATACAGCTATCAAAAAAGTTTCACCAGTAGAACAGCGGTTAATTAACCAATCGTAATATTTTTAGATTCACTCGTGACGAGTAAATGTGAAGCGTAACTTTTACAGAAAGGCGAGCGTGATTACTGAATCTATGAACACATGAGGGGCGTAATTTGCCTCCTGAAATATACGTGACTCGTCAATTTCTTCTTCCATTCCGTGAAAACATCAAACTTATTCAGCTCTGATTTCCATTGCTATTTGTTTCAAAATCGAGGTAAATCAATATATCTTAAATCGATTTGGAGATATCCATCTACGTGACGTAGATCTATTTTCGTTGCGTCGTGGAAAAATTTGATTGACATAAATCCAACAAAAAAATACAAATTCTACAATTAAACGAAGTATAAAACTATTCAATTTTGCCCTGATGAAGATATTTGTGCAAGATTTGTGTTGGTATTTCTAACCGTTTGTCCCATAGAGATCAAGCCGGCATGTCAGTCTTAGGAACTCGCTTAGTTAATTTGAGATGAAGAAATTAGAACATGTAACTGTCGTCAATGATTAACCGCCCATCAATTATTTTGATTTAATACCGCATAAATTTGGGCAAAGAGCAAAAATTCTACCCAGCGTTTTAACCGCTTACAAAATGCTTTGTTTTTCAGGCGAAGGAAAATCTTTCTATTTCATTCCACTACATACGCGTTACTTCAGTAAGTCATATACCAGCTTCTCCAATTTTTTTGTTTCGTAAAATGATAAAGTCAATTTCATTCATGGAAAATGAAACTGAGGAAGCAATAAAAATGCAGAAATTAAATAAAACGAACAGCTCACCTTTTGGAAACAGAACATGCCTTTTATATTAGTGCCTGATAGTGTGACTAATGAAAACAAAAATAAGAAAATGAAATGAGACTTTCCCAGACAAACAAACGTAAATGCAAACGTTTTACTCGCACAGTTGGTAAGAAGTCATCATCAAAATAAAAAAAATAGAACCTAAGATGGAAGAAAGATTGTTTTCTAAGTTGCTCATAAGATTCATCAAATAACATACGGGATCTTCTTTGTTTCAATCATCTCAGAAGTGATGAACTTGTAGTTTCTCATGAAAATTCACATATTTGCACTGCGGTGGAAAGATGAAATTAGAAGATCCTCGCAGCTAAGAACACTACTGAAACTAGTAGTTGTAAGTAGGACCTGAAAAAAAAAAAAAAAAAAATTTCAGGCCCGTACGGGATTTGAACCCATGACCTCTGCGATACCGGTGCAGCGCTCTACCAATTGAGCTAACAAGCCAACTGGGAGCTGGTCAATGAATTGGGTACAAATAAACATCCGAGTGAATGAAGATTTAGATATATGAAAATTCACATATTTGCACTGCGGTGGAAAGATGAAATTAGAAGATCCTCGCAGCTAAGAACACTACTGAAACTAGTAGTTGTAGTTGTAGTTTCTCTTTACAATATCAATAAACACTTAATGTATGGTCCCGAGGGAAACATGTAGTTTTGTTTTCCCGAGAGTCCAACGAGAAAACAAAACTTACTAATTTCCCGAGGGACCATACATTAAATGCTTTGTTACATATTTAGACTTTCCCTTCAACAATCCTTTGGCAAAATCATGCTGTTGTATTCGGCGCGCGGGCAACAACTGCCAAATTTTATCCCGGTCGGGATACATTTGAATTTGATCAGGGGCACACAACCAAGAATCAACCAATCTCAGTGCTCGTTTTGTTTAGGGAAAGTCTAAGTACATAATAATATACCATATAGCAATGCTAAAAACATGTTAACGCATAATGTTCATGAAATAAATTTTTAGCTGCTCACCTTTAAAAACTAAAAGATCTCTGGATAGTTAGGAGACCAAAATCACAAAACCGACATAAACTTTCTCTGCAAAGCAATGAAGAATGCGAAGAGCTACTGTAAGATTGAATAGGAAAATTATCGGTTAAAAGTAATCATTATAAACATAATAAGGATGGAACTTGCATTACAGCTTGCCCATAAGAGATCTCAATAAACACAGGAGCTCACATATCATCGATAAGAGTTTGGTGGATTTCATTTTGCTTTGCTCGATTTTTAAAACCTTCAAGTTACAGAAGTGAGGAACATGTTGCTTCTCTTTCCAATATCAACATAATATTCACTGAACAAGCGACGAGAATACTTATCAGCTGAGGGTTTTTTCTTCATACAACATTCAAGTCTCCCTACTGACAAGCAAGGTAATGTGAGGGAGCTAGAAGGAAGAATTGCTGATGAGATCAAAAATTTTAAAGTTAAAAATGATGCAGACCTTTAATATTTTGCAGTCCAAATCAAAAATTTATTCCAGTTTGGAAGCTCTCCACAAATATCATTGAATTGTTTGGAATTACAACTCTTTCTTATCACTGAATTTGCTACATTTACTGAACCAGAAATATATTTTTTTCGAAGCGGGAAAAGAATAACTATTACTAAATTTAGTTTTTTTGCTGGTAACCCTTTCAAAAATAAACACGCTTTGTTTGGGTGATGAGACCAAAAGTGGCGAGAAACAGAGATAAATGCAAGCAGCTCGTGTGAGAACAAAGTGCTAAGTTTGATCGGTCTAAGACAAGAAACTACAAACTGCAGTTGATAATCTCTTGGTGTGAGAGATATCAATATGACTTTCTGTTTCGCCCATAGCGTCGCTGAAAAAACATTGAAGCGCTTTTCTTTCCACATCAAAAATCGCTGCCCTTGAATTCAATTTCTGCTGCGCCTGATTTGAGCAGGCGCCGAAAACATTTTTTAAATAAAAAGAGGGAAAGAGAGAGATGGGACTGTAAGCTAATATT